GTACATCTTGTTTATCAGAAGACCACCTGTAAACTACTGGTAAAGGTGTCAAAGCAGACAAAGGGTTTCTTTGCATAAGGACGATGTATGACAGACTTAGAAAAAGCACACAAGTCAGTCTGCCTATGATGGCTACAGATTTTACTGTATTTTCAGTCAGTTTGAGAAATGGTGACATCTACTGTTACTGTATAAAAGTACAATGAAGATCATGATGACTGAATTTTTAAATCATTTATACAGGAGCCGTTGTGCAGCTCACACAATCCTCCTGATTAGCTGTCGGCCTCTTTTCCTCACGGGTGTCTGACAAGAGCGATTGGTTAATCAGCAATTGAAGGGATTCTAGGCAGTTCTTTCTTTTGTGCAGTCTTGTGTTAAAACGAATCTGTTCCTCTTGACAGATTCTTAGTGGATGAATAACTTTAGTGATGTGAACCTAAACCTTGACTGTAGTTTATTAAACAGAGGAGCCACAATTTTTTTTAAGTCCACATTCTTGAGCTGTCATTAGTCCAGGTTTTAAGTAAGTACCTGGGTTATTTAGAAGAGTGATTTAGATTACCTTATTTTATTCAACTGTTTACATCTAATGCAATTGACAGTCTGTTTCTCTTCTCTGACTCTGTGTACAAGCAGGAGACCTCACAGGGGATTATCCGAGTCCACGCACCACAGTTCAGTAAAATTTCTATGGCACTTCAACTTACCGAAGACTTGCAGGCTTGTGATGTGTTAACACGCTTCCTGAGCCAGGACAGGTAACATGTATATTAACAACACAAACAGAGAAGCTCTCACATGCCCGCATGTCCTCTGACTACGTCTCTCATCTCTCTCATCCTTCCAGCTCGTTGGCAGTAAAAACAGATGATTTGTGTCTCTATGAGATCGGCGGAAACATCAGTGAGTTCTGCTCCCATAAAACTACATGTGTAAACTAAAAACATACACTACAATATTAATTTCCTTGCTCATAAAACAGCTTCTATGGCACAAATATGCATTTTAAGTCGTGACAGTACATGCTGTCAATGTGTTTAATGTTTCTCTCTGTCTGCTCTTCTTCTTGTCGTCTTCAAAGAGGAAAGATGCCTAGATGGGGAAACGTATATGAAAGACCTCTACCAGGTGAATCCTACAGCAGAGTGGGTCATCAGAGCTATGCAGCGATGAGTTCATCAGGCCCTGCTTCATGCCTGACCTCTCTAAATTGCCACCACTGTGTCCTGAAAGAAGAGGCGCTGCCTTGTTGTCTGTGGTTCTGGATGCACTTGGAGTTTTCATATGTAGCATAGATATAGATACTTTTAACTGATCCTCAAATTTGCCACAAAATGCACATTTTCTAATGGAAGAACTCATCAAAGCAGATTTTATGTTATGTGGAAATACGTGTCCTTTTTAGTTTATTGCACAACTTAAATTCCCATACTTTTTTCTCAATGGGGGAAAAAAGGAAAATTATTATTATTATTAACAGGAGATTATAGAGATTAATAGTTTGGTGCAGAAAAATAATATTGATTAAATCATAAATCAGTCATGAATAAATACTGGTCCATTTTTGTGGGCTAATTATGATTTTTTTTTTTTTTAATCTGTTTATATGTCTATTAAAAGTCCTAAAAATGATGTGTACAGCCACATTATTAAATAGCATTAAATCTGAGCATTTCACCAGGAAGGATGCTTTGGAGGTTTGGGTCTCTGAAGCTGAAAGGTAGGTGCTGTAAAGCAGTGGTTTATTTTTTAGCGTAGAAGAAAACTGATCAAAAACAGTGGATGTGTGAGTGTTTTACCCTACTCTACAATGTGAACAAGCACATGTGTACGTCATACACATGCAGTACTGTGTGTGTCAAGTTCACTTTAAGTATTGCTTTAAAGGGATAGACTGCTGACTGGATGATACATTTGCACGTGCTGGGCTCCAAACATATCTGTTCATTTGTTGTTTTATTCATTTTTGGCTCAGTACCATCCACAGTGTGGACATGAGTTGATATATTCTACTTTGGCAAAACATGCATTTAGACAGGAATAGAAAAAAATCCCCATTTTATGTTGGGGGTTTTTGGCATCGATTTGTGTTTCTCTCAGTTTTCAACAAAGGTCTTATCAGATATAGTGCAGTTTCTCACAGTTTCAGCAGCCTGTGGAGGATTGTGTCTGCACGATAGAGCCACTTCTTTTATGTATAGCTAGGGAGTATTCAAAAAAATGATTTTGGGTTTATTTTGAATGATTTTGATTTATTTATTTTTTTGAATATCTTGTTTTTTTTCTGCCTTGTATTGTTGTTTACTGTGATTTTTTTTTTTCCAGATAACTGTTTTTGTGTAACTGCCTCTGAAATGACCACTAAAACTGCCTGTAAATAAACATGCAGTTATTAATTACCACATCTGTTGGTGTGAGTGCTTATGTATCCGAATGACTTAAAAGTTCTTGTACACTCCAATTTTCAAATGAGAATTTAGTTTCCCACCACGTTGTACTGACCTACTTAGAGTAACAGTGAGGTTAGAAATAATGAGGTCCAACAGCTTGGATGTAAAGGGCTTGAGTCAGAGCTCTTGGCAGTTTTTACAGAAAGATTGAATTAGTGTACAGGTTTTCTGTGAGTCAGATTCAGGGCACCAGATGCAAACAGACCACACTATGTAGCAGAATATAATATCCATAAGAATTTACACAGTGCTTTTGAATTTTAAACTAATATTCTAAAGCTGCTGACACCTTTATTACGTACCAGCACTACAGATTCCAGGCCTTGTATTCTTCACCTGAGCCTGTAAGTTTCATGAAACTTATTGATCAACCAGAAAGTTAAAGGCTACTTTTGACGTCTCCCTTGTCACAAGGGGTCACCACAGCAGGTAGTTCCACATGTTTGATTTAGAAGAGTTTTTACCCCAGATGCCCTGCAAAGAGGATTTGTTTCTCCAGCTGGAATTGAACCAAAAAACCTTTTGTTTGTAAATGTGCTCGATTTAGTTCAGTGTTATTTATGTAGTGCCAAATCACAAAAACAGTTACCTCATGGCACTTTATATTGTAAAGTTTGTAAAATAATGGAGAGAAATTTTCAGCAATCAGACTCTCCTGTGAGCAAGCACTTTGCTGACTGTGGGAAGGAAAAACTTCCTTTTACAGGAAGAGACCTCCAGCAGAACCAGGCTCATTTGCGGCGACCAGTTGGGTGTGAGGGGAGGGAGACGGCACAAAAGACACTGTGGAAGAGAGACAGAATAATTATCAAATGCAAAGTGATGTATAAACACACCGTGAGTGAAAAAGGTAAGGTAAGTGAAGAAGAAATACAGTACATCATTGGAAGCTCCCAGCTGCCTACCTTTTGCAGGACATGTGGGACTAATAAAGGTTTATCTTATCTAACTAAGGGAAGGTCACCTGATCCGGCCCTAACTATATGCTTAATCAAAAAGAAACCTTTTAAGCCTAATCTTAAAAGTAGAGATGGCGTCTGTCTGGGAGCTGGTTCCAAAATAGAGGAGCCTGAAAGCTGAAGGTTCTCCCTCCCATTCTACTTTCAAACAGAACCAGAAGTAAGCCACCAGTCTGAAAGCACAGAGGGTGATATGGAACTATGAGGTCTTTAAGATAAGATGGAGCCAGGTTATTCAAGACCTTGTATGTGAGGGGACAAATTTTAAATTCAATTCTTGATTTTACCAGGGAGCCAGAGAAAAAAGTCAGTGTGGGAGAAATATTCTAAGGAGACGTGTAGGAGAAATATGTTGTCTCTTTCTAATCCTTGTCAGTACTCTTGTAATGAATTACAATCCAGCCTAGATGTAATGAACGCATAAACAAGTTTTTCAGCGTCACATTGAGGAAAGATGTTCTTTTGAAACTTGCATAATGGCAGTTGATATGTGATAAGAGTTTTAAACCACTACACTATGAACGAAATATTAAAGCACAAATGCCAGTGCTTTACAGAAAGAAACCCACTAAAGTAACTAACCAGTATTTATCACGCAAGCTCCAAAAACAGCAGTTGCAAAGTGATTTAAAGAAAATAATCAAAGATAATGGAAAATGTAAAAGCAGGTTAAAAGAAAGCTAAATTTGCGAGGGATTTAAGACACTGAAAAAAATTTGCACAATTATTAAAATGGAATAACGAGCAGCACAAACACAGGACTGATCGGATTAAAAAACATTGATATAACTAAGAAGAAACAAGTAATATATTAATAAAAGACTTGATATTATCATATCACAGAAAGCACTTCTTATTGAATACAAACAAAAGCCAGAAAATGGCTTTAGGTATCTAATGGCATAGACCAAGCAAATGGACTGTAATGGATTAGTAAAACCAGTGGTTACTGCTTTAACCACAATTTTTAAAGTTGCCCAGAGTAGCAAAAGTAACAGGAATCAGTACTGACACTCTGCACAAGATACTCGAGCAAGGTAGAGCCTGAAGTATAAGGAATAACTATAGTTAGAGATTTAAAAAAAATGTTTTATTGACATAGCATGGCCTATGGTAGATTGATTGATTGATTGATTGATTGATTGATTGATTGATTGATTGATTGATAACTGTCCCTGATTTTCCTCTTCTCCCTTCTTCTTTCCCCGAGAGCAGTTTCTTTATTATTATTTTCCCCTTCAAGATGGATAATGTGTTTAAATAGTAAACATGGGATTACCCGGGAGCTGAAAACATTCAATGCCATAATGTCCGGGTTTTCCCTTTTTATTGTAGTTACATTCGGGTTTGCACATATTCACCTTCAGCACTCAAAATGCATATTTTTATCCTAACTAATAGCATGTCCAAACAACACCCTCTACCTCCCAGATTATTATTATCTCCTTAAAGTGTTTTGGTGTCGTGGACAAGCCCCTAAACTGGAAACATAACTGTGTACGCATCCGATTCGCTGACATATCTTTGGCCCCTATTCATTGGCTACTGTCAATCTAGGCGCAATGTGATTGGTCAAATCACAAGAAAAGGAAGTGGCGATCAGTAGTGTGGGCTCAACGCTAAGTAGTATTTGGGTGGTGTATATCAAAGGGTAAAGCTGCTGGCTTTCGTCCCTAAACGTGGATATTTTGAAGTGTCAAGAGGTACTCGTTATCCAGTTTTTGGGCCGAGCAGTTGAACAGCGGGCATATATTATTAACGCTGTCTTGCTAACCTTTGTTGCGGCTATGTAAAACTAGCTTGTTAGGTTTACGTCATTTCAGCAGGTGCTACTCTGCTAGCTTAGCTTTACATTGGGATCTATTAGCTTGTTAAACAGCTACAGTAGCTAAAATTAAACAAGCTGGCATCTAGAGGGAATACGGCTCAGACTAGTGTGTGACAGGGAGTTTACTTATGCTACTTCTCGTAGTGTGACCCGAGACTGCGACTGGATGTTTAGTAATAGAAATAGCAGTAGTCACAGCTAGCAGATTGTTAGCTTGTTAAATAACAACAATGGGCTATAAGAAGTGTTTGAAAACAGCAAGGAGACTTTATTTTTGGGGTATTCTCTTCATAGTGTTCAGCAAAGGAGTAACAGCTGGTGAGTATGAAATGCCGGTGGTGTTGTAACACTCACTATACGCGTGTCTTAAAGTGTCACAGCACCTGTTTTCGTCTATTACATTTCTTTGACTGAATCAAAACAACACATCTTTCACTGCTGCAACATTAATGCTTTTTAGATGAGGAGCAACACCAGGACGAAGCACCAGAGTTAAAGGTGTGTCATGGGCTCTTTGGTGCATGGTTAATGCTGATCATAGACTCATTTGCAAGCTGGTCTCTTGGGAGTTGTATGTAACACACGATTTTGTATACGTGTTGCCTAGAAAAGTTAAAGTAAGAAGTCATTCAACTTAAAAAGAAAATGAACACACTGCTAACTTTGCAAATGAGCCTCATGCAAAGGCATTGTTTTTATATACAGCGTAATTTCCCTCCTTTAAGTAATCCTTTGTAATAACCTCCTGTTGATTTCTCCAGTCCTACCATGACCCAGACTCTGAAGAGGAAGATGTTCGATTATCACCAGAAATTGTGGCAGGTATTTCTATGACCACTGATCACTCCCATCCTGAAGAGGAAACACAGCCCCCTTCGGAGGGTCTAGAAGGAGAGGAGAAGGAGGACCTACCTGACCCACCTCCTCCTGTTGAGGAAAAACCTAAAGAGGGTAAGGTGTAAGATTTTAAAACATCCACACAACAAAGGCGTGAAAAACAATCACAATAAGTTGATTAACGTTTGAGATGTCAAAGTTGTTAAATACTTCCTGATGTTTTTACTGTATTAATTATTAGAAATTTAGTTTTTAGCATCTCCTGCTATACCAGTGATGGCTTTGATATTCTAATCCCCACTTTTTACATTAGAAAATGTTTTCAGTGTTTAAAAGTGGTTGCATGTTAAGAGCCCTCAGGATGGCCCAAAAATGGTCATGACTGCTGAATGTAGCTACTTTAATGGGCTGTTGAGCTATTTGGTATCTGATTGGTATCTAAAATAAAGAGCCTAAGATGTTAGCATGCTAAATGGAAGGAAAAGCTTAGTGATATATTTTAACGATGTCTAGTCTGAACCTATAAATCTTTCTTTTTGTAGTAGTGCCTTGTAGTGGTGTTATCACACGTCTCATGATCTCAGCATTGAAAACAAGCTCTTTCTTATGATTTTTTTTCCTTTGTAAGCTTTGTTTAGTGTTTAACATGTTAACCTGTTTTCACTTTGCCTGACTCTGAGCTAAGCTGAGTGTGGTTTCAGGGTAGAGCCACATTTGATAAACGGTTAAACCCCCGTGAGACACTAAACAGCTTCTCGCACCTGTGGCTCCTCTTGCAGTGCAGTTACATCATTTCACTTGGGGATTGTTTGTAATTACCCTGCTAGCTCATTGCACAGTTGTATTACTGAACTTGTGTGAAGGAGATGTATTCAGATTAACGTAATTGCGTGTGTAAAGTTGCAACTCTATGGTAATTGTTTCAACTCCTCTGTCTCTTTGTTATTTTTCCACACCAAAGTTGATGGTGCAGCAAAAACCAAAAGATTTGAGAATATAAAGAAAAAAATATATTTTCACTTAGACCTCAGGTCCACCAGTATTTTAAAGGAAAACAGCCAGAGTTTGTTTGTTTTCAATCAAGTAAATTTTATATATGGGTGTTTTTTGTTTTTTTTAAAATACAGTTCCTGTGGTGAATGGAGGTACAGCCCATGGAGAGCCCTGCATATTCCCCTTCCTCTTCCAGGAGACAGAGTACATAGAGTGTACCACTGACGGGCGGGGGGATGGACGGCTATGGTGTGCCACGACGTACGACTATGACCAGGATAAGAAATGGGGTTTCTGTGAGAGTGAGTTTCAAACTCAAAAACTCTAAAACCTTCACAAATGAAATTTTGTGATTCATTTTAAAGCCAAAATGGAGTCACATTACGGCACTTTGGTATTAAATATATTGCATTGTACAGTACAGGTCCTGAGCCAGCCCTCATTTCATTATGTTTTGCTTCCAAGGAGCCAGACCTGCTTTTAATATTTAAAGTGATCTTGAGCAATAATTTTTCAGGCTTTCTCAAGGTCTTTCAAATGTTTTCTTTGGATTCGGCTGGTTTTTCACTCATTTTCAGTCCAGCTCTTGTACCTCACCATTTTCAGAGGATTTTTTTGTTTTTGTTTTTCTTCCTGTTTGGTTGTTTAGGCCACCAGATGAACCGATTTGTCTACACATATGACACAACTCATTTAAGAGCACATTTTTTTACTAGTAGTCTGTTGCAAAAATGCATAATTTGTTATTAGCCAAAAACTTAGCACATGTACACAATGTGCAGCATCAAAGGTCACTGTGACCTTAAATGTTTTTCCCCAAACACATGAATTCTTGTGTTAAACTGTCACTGATCATTGTTTGTTCTTCTCAGTAACAGTCTTGGTAGAACTAAACGACTACTGAAACCAGCCTGAAGATATTATTATGACTTTGTTTGCATAACTGCTACTGCTACCAACCTTTTGAAAACATTTTATTTCCTCTAAACAGTCTGATTGGCTTCTCCTCTCTTTCCCTCAGCGGAGGAACAGGCACAGCAGAGGCTTCAGGCTGAGGAAGCAGAGAAGCAGTATCAGACTGTCCTGCGCATGCTAAACTCCACCACCAGGAAGACTCAGAAAAAAGAGTGAGTGGCTTACTTTTAGTTTATTTGTCTGGTTGTTGTCAGCCTAATTTTGACTCTTGAAGAAGAGTTTATACAAAGCATGTGGATTTGAAATCTTTTTTAGATGAAGCAGAAACAGAAGCTTTCCAGTTTTTGCCCACACTCTGTTTTTAGATAAAAATCGGAAAAGGAACAAAAAGTAAAGATGCTCTATTCAAATTGAAGATTTTGGCAAGGTTACATTTTTTTGCCAATTTTCTTTTTATTTGTTTAAGTTAAAATGCATATTCCCACTACTGCCCTCTGGTCATCTTTTTATTTCACAGACAAAATTTGATGTTATTTTACATGTCGATTGGGTTCAATGTCCATTTCTTGCGTGTTTTATTACCAGCCAGCGCTTGCGTGCCTTCCATTTGCACATCCTTATTTGCTTTAGCTATCACACTACTGTTTGTCATGTACACATTATTTTTATGTGAACGTGGATTCAATTTCGCTTGTGCCTACTCTGCTTATCTTTCTCAGATTATATGAAAAGCTGCTAAAAGTGGCAGAAAAAGGCCACCAGAAAGCCATGGAGAAGGTGGCGTATGCCATGCTGTTTGGAGATTACATGAACCAAAATATTACCAAGGCCAGAGAAATGTTTGAGAAGCTTGCCATGGAGGGCTCACCTAAAGCTCAGATGGTAATGATCTCGCTCATAATTATACACGTCTCTTGAGAAAAGTGTTGGAAGCCTGTTTGCAGGTTATTTGTGCTGAGAGGAGCAACTCTGTGACACTCTGCTCTGTTTACTTTTCTTCAGGCTCTTGGATTTCTGTATGCAGCAGGGCTCGGAGTTAACTCAAGTCAAGCTAAGGTACGTCTATGCTCTGTAGATTTGTCTTACAGTATATGGGTTTGTCAGTAGTTACTTATGTTCTGCCATGTTCTCTGTTTTTCAGGCCTTGGTTTACTACACCTTTGGTGCACTGGGTGGAAACCTGCTCGCTCATATGATTCTGGTAAGCAGATTTTTCTGTCAGTGAAGAAATGCTACAGTCATGCTATTTGTATACTTTAATAACAATTACACTTCCTTATATTGTTTTATTAGGGCTACAGATACTGGGGAGGGGTGGGTGTTCCCCAAAGCTGTGAGTCAGCACTAACGCATTATAGGCTTGTAGCAAATCAGGGTAAGTGTTTTGCATTACTATATTCTAGTGCAGTAATAGTTCTTGCTGGGCTAATAACACTCTTTCCTCTGCCAACTTTAGTGGCCAGCGATGTTTCCCTGACAGGAGGCTCAGCGGTGCAGAGGATCAGACTGCTCGATGAGGTGGAGAACCCGGGATCTACCAGCGGGATGTTGGAGGAAGACCTCATCCAGTACTACCAGTTTCTAGCGGAGAAAGGGGACGTCCAAGCTCAGGTAAAGTGGTCAAATTTTTAAAAAATAATTTATTGCTGGTATTGGGAGCTAATGTGACCTTTCCTTTGACATACCTGAGCCAGTGGTTGATTGAACACACAGTCAAAATGTTTGTAATGTGTTTATTTGTGTCAGTTTAGAAATCGTTCTCGTTACACGTGTTTGGCAAAGAAAACATTTGAATTTGTGATCAGCTTCACTGTTCTGACTTTTGTCAAAGCTCCTGACTGTGGGGAATTAACAAAAACTACACAATATAGTTGCATGTCCACACATTTTTATTATTATTATTTCTTTATTTATATGGCATTTTTGCTTTTTCTTGTGGGCAGGAATAGGAAGTAGTTTGAATGGATGGCACTAATTTACTTTATTGTATAAGAACTGAAATCTGGGTCATACTTGGATTATGCATGCATGTTATGTAATGTCTAAATGTGAAAGGGCTACATAATGTGTCATTGCTGGGTAGTATCAGTCTGAAGCCTTGTTGTAGTTTTTATTTGATTACTAATTGAATGTTTTACTTAGGTGGGCCTGGGTCAGCTGCACTTACATGGAGGACGTGGAGTAGAACAGAATCACCAGGTAACTTTGTCATAGATTTCGCTCACTGTATTTTATTTATTTGTTTTGCTTATTTTGTGAGTTGTGAGTTTTCTCTGTCAAATGCATTTATGCTGCTTTCTGTCCAACAGAGGGCGTATGACTACTTCAACCAGGCAGCCAATGCAGGCAACACACATGCTATGGCTTTTCTTGGAAAGGTGGGTGAGATGGAGGCTCACTCACTTCACTGTTATGTCACCTTTTCTTTTCTTTTCTTTTTTTAAAACAGACTTTTCTTTCTTTTCTGTCTTTTTATAAAATTTTCCATTCATCACCTTGGTTTTTTTTTTTGGTTTTTTTTTTTTTGCTTTTAATGCCATATTTTCCATCTATTTAACACTGTGTTGTGTTGACCTTAGAGACAGTTTGGTTATAGAGACTTTTTAGAATAAAACCAGCTTGGCATTGATGTTTTCACAGAGGGCAGTGTATTTGTGTTTAAGGTATAAAATTTAGCTTTTATGCCTGTGACTGTCTGTTCCTCAGATGTATTCAGAAGGCAGTGAGTTTCTCCCTCAGAATAATGAGACTGCCTTGCAGTACTTCAAGAAGGCTTCTGACCTGGTAAGGATAACGCTGTAGACTAAACTGGGTAATTTATTCACTCTGAGCTTGCTCACTCACTCACAGCTGAATTCTGTTACCCTTTCTTTAAATATTAACATGCAGTAATCGTTTTTACATATTCATTTACTTTTTTTTCCAGGGTAATCCGGTGGGACAGAGTGGGTTGGGGATGGCCTATCTTTATGGTAGAGGTGTGCCAGTGGTAAGATATTTTATTTATATATTTTTTTTAAGTGTGTCTCATATCTTTTGATGGGATCTGTACATATAGATAAGATCTCACCTTCACTTTTAGGCACTTGGAGTTGAAATAAAGTTTTATATAAACAACAAAGAAAAACAGTTTTATATAACAGGCTTTTATTTTGATGGCAAGCTGTCAGAGTGTCTCTCCTGCTGAAGCAGCTATTGAAAAGTTGTGTGTTTGTCTCCAGAACTACGAGCTGGCCCTCAAATACTTCCAGAAGGCAGCAGAGCAGGGCTGGGTGGATGGACAACTCCAGCTGGGCACCATGTATTACAGTGAGTTTTACAGCTCAGTGTGTCCTTCAGTGTCTCACTGCATTCTATCATAGTTTTCCTCTCGCCCGCTGTCTGTTTAGGAGTCCTCAGTCTTCGCTCTTCTTCACATAATAACATTTTTGTTCTTACTCTTGTTCCCCAGATGGCATTGGCGTGAAGCGTGACTACAAGCAGGCTCTTAAATTCTTCAACCTGGCCTCACAGGCTGGGCACATCCTGGCCTTCTACAACTTGGCCCAGATGCATGCTACTGGTACTGGTGTGATGCGTTCCTGCCACACCGCTGTAGAGGTTAGTCCACCCTAAATCTGCTACTTCTTTCACTGTTAAGAGATTGTCTCTCCAACTTGGTGTCTCCTCAAACATTTATCGATTAACAGCAGTGGCTTTTATCTGCACTTTTCAGTACAAATTGGAGATGTGTATCACACTGTGTGTCCTGTTTGCAGCTTTTCAAAAATGTGTGTGAGCGTGGTCGCTGGTCAGAGCGCCTGATGACAGCGTACGGTAGCTTTAAGGAGGGTGACATGGACGCTGCACTGGTTCAGTATCTGCTGCTGGCTGAGCAGGGCTACGAGGTGGCTCAGAGCAACGTGGCCTTCATTCTGGATCAGAGTAAGAAAAACCAAGACATTAGTATTTAACCATGGTAGTGCAGGCTTTTAGCAGTTAATTTATGTGCACCACTTGCAATATTACAGCCATGTTTAAATGCTAGTGTCATGATCCTGCTACGCTCTTTACCCTTGTTAGAGAGAGATTCAGGTCTCATTTTAAATGTTTTAATTTTTCATGTGTTTGTGTGAATTATGCCACACAGAAGGGGCAAGGATCTTCAGTGAGAATGAGACCTACCCTCGTGCATTGCTCCACTGGACAAGAGCTGCAGCGCAAGGTGAGTTTAAACAAGCTCCGTCTCCTCGTCAGTGTGAACAGTGTGTGCGCCGGAGCAGTAGAGTCAAAGTGCACTGCAAGTTTAGGGAAATGCGTCATGATGTTTAGCTTGGGAACGTATTGCTTAATGCACATTTCACTTGATTGAACTGTGATGCTGTGTAGACACTGGCTGTGAGCACAGCTGCTCTGCTTGGCTGTGCTGCGCTGTGTGAAACGGTTATTAGTCAAACTTTGGCTCCTTTTGTGGTTGAATCTGTGCTGCTGTGGATGTCTAACTCCTGCTAGCTGAGCACAGTTCTGTTACCAAAGAAAGTCTCATTGCGCTGTACAGAATTTGACCCCACTGTGGTTTTATCAGGTGTAACCAACGTGGTACCAAAACTCCACATCCTTTCAGAAATGGAGACATTTCACTACAATGAGCACAACCAGCTCAATTTACAGCACACACACACCACTGCACATAGTTTGTGTTGCACTTATTATCAACAAGCGTGTCACAGCCAACAACCTTAATAACAAAAGCCATGGCAACAGTGAGCATCACAGCTCCAGTGTGTCTCATGCATCCTCCATAGCTATATATTATCTAAGTGCAGTGGAACAGGCTAATGCCTGAGCAGCCATAGCTGCTGAGGGTGCACTGATTCTCTCTGGGGTCACATGCATCGTAATTTATGATAATCGAGCTCAGCCTGTCTTTGTGTATCAGTGTGAGATACTGAGTGGTGAACACTAAGCTGGTTCACAGAAGATTTCTAGCCATGACTGTTTGCATATAAAACCAAATCTTACACATGTAATTGTCCTTGTAAGGTTACACCGTGGCAAGGATAAAACTGGGAGACTATCATTTCTATGGCTACGGAACGGACGTGGACTACGAGACGGCTGTCATTCACTATAGGTTGGCATCTGAGCAGCAGCACAGCGCACAGGCCATGTTTAACTTGGGTTACATGCATGAGAAAGGCCTGGGTATCAAACAGGTGAGCACTCACTAAACATCACCTGGCTCTCAACATGTCACAAATTTGCGCTTTGTCATTTAGCAAAGTCAGTGTGGTTGTTAATTTGATTTCTAATTCTGAAATTTTCCATGGGTTTTTTTTTTTTTGCTGCAGGACATCCACCTAGCCAAACGGTTTTATGACATGGCTGCTGAGGCCAGTCCTGACGCCCAGGTTCCAGTTTTTCTAGCTCTGTGCAAACTGGGCCTGATTTATGCTCTCCAGTACCTGCAGGATCTTAATGTGAGTATTTCCTCCTGAATTCACAAGCTGTCATGCTAACCGTATGGTTTTGAGTAACACGTCTTGTACTTCAGATAGTTTCAGAGATTCTTCATTAGAAAGAAAAATGATGTTTCTTTTTCCCTCCTTGTTGGTTGCGACTTCTCGCAGTTGAAGGAGCTGATTTCTCAGGTGGATCTGGACCAGCTGCTGGGCCCAGAGTGGGATCTCTACCTCATGACGGTCATCGCCCTACTGCTAGGCACAGTCATCGCCTACCGACAGCGCCAACACCAAATCATAGTGCCACCTCGCCCACCTGCCCCAGCGCCTCCTCCCAGGCCGCCTCAGGAACAACCACAGGGCCAGGCCGAGCCCCAGGCTCAGGAAGAAACACCAGAGCAGGGCCCGGCCCAGGAAGAGGAGGAGCAGCACTGAGAGGGAGGCAGACGGAGTGAGGGTGGTGAAAGATGGACAAGAGGCTCACTGCATGGAGCACCAGTAGCTGAATACCTGCTACATTGAGCACCTCGCCCACTCTGCCTGTTCCCCGCCATGTGTGTGTGGGTTTTTTTTTTTTTTTAAAAAAAGGCTTGATGATGGCTGCTGAACTGTTCAGTCTCACCTCTTTCTTCCTTTAAAATATGCTGGTCTTCTGCTGAAACCGACACATCGTGGGTGTTAATGGACAACACTGCAGTAGAGAGTGTTTGGACTTGGTACTTTTTGACTCAGGATACTGCCAGACGTTCCCCCCGTGTCCTCAACATGGAATTAGTCTTGTGGTTGCCAGATCAAAAGCATTACAAACTCAACTGAGAAAATTACACTCGTTAGACAGCTTCATTCCCAATTTTGTTCAGTATTTAAAAAAAGTCTGGGTGGAAAATGTGAAGTAAAATCATTTTCATTTCTAGCGCTGGTCTACTTGGTAAAAGAAAGTCCTGGTTCTCTGCATGTCTTCTCTGATCTCCTTGCAGACTTTGAGTTTAGCCTTTTTTTTTGAGCTAACTGATGAGTGAACAAATTTTGCATTCCTTTATGCTTTGCAGTTTTGCATTCATTAGTTATTTTGGGTGACATGTTGTCAGATCAATAAGTGCTAAATATACTAAAACTATGCTGAGTCATCAGCACAAGAACAATAGTTTGGGAAGTTCTCACTGACAGAAAAGCTGGGCTGTGAAGTAGGTGATGTTTGCTGATGCACACGGGGATTAAAATGTGTACAGAAACATCAAAGTTAATTTAAAAAGCAAGCGAGAGGAATTTAAACTTTTTTGGAAGTTGTACACTACAGTATGTGTACATTTTTTTCCAACACTGTTCTTTGATTTAATTATTGTTGCTGGTTTTGAAAGGCAGCTTAGTATTTTTTTTTTTTTTTTAAATGCCAACTGTTATCTGGAGCAGCCTTAAAGATAGCAGCAACTTAAACCTTGCATTGTTTCTACAGTAGAGGAAGTGGATCACATTTCTTTTTTTTTCCCTTTTGTTTTGTTCTAAAACTTCAGCTGTCGTGACAATTTCCACCCCCTCACCAAACGTCCAAGTTGGAAATCTGCCTACACTTCTGAGATCAGATGGACATGAATCCGAGGCTGCATTGAAAAGCAAACGAAGCCACGGTTAGACCATGCAGCATTTCTGGAACCAAGATCTGAAATTTCATTTTGTTTTTTATTTTTGTTTTTTTCACTTCATTTGTTTGTTTTTTCTCATTTGTTCACTTCCACAAAATGTACTAAAGTTAGTGTTTAACTGCCAATAGATATGCATGATTGAACCCCAGAAGGAGAGCGTAGTGTTGTTTGCAGGATGATTAGAAATAAGTCCAAACTGTTTCCTGCTTTCACACATCGGCACCCACATAACTCACAATTGGTCTGAAATAAAACACTGGGCAAAGTTACAGAGAAGAATTTTTCTTTTCTTTTTTTCTTCTTCTTCTTTTTTTTTTTTTAACCATTAAAACGCGTTTATAAATTTAATAAATGATATATGGATATTTCAAAGATGTTCTGAATGTTTGATTGCCGAAATGCTTGGATCGATGATCATTTGTAGTTCGGATAAGTGGCTCGTGCCCTGCTTGGCTTTGAATGTCTGACATAACACTGCAATGTTGCTGACATTGATCAGCAGCGAGAGCGGCCGCTTCTCATTGGACCTGTTGGTTGTCGCTCAGCCATTGAGGCTGAGACAAAGTGACAATGCTGTGAAAACTGAGGGTCGCATTGTGCAGTGTGTAGGGGTGACCCATTGACTGGTCCATACGCGATACTATGGGGTGGCTTTGGATCGCTGTGGCAACGTGTGTGCTCGCGTCCTGCTCTGTCAAAGGTAAGTGCTAGAACAAGCAGGAGGGCACCTCCCACGTGAGGCTGTGTGCCTATATTTATTGTAACAACAGCCTCTGAAACGGGGCCCTCCCTTTTATTATTTATTTTTTTAATGGATTGTTTGGGTTTATATCAACCATCTGTTTTTATAGATATACACCAAGGACAAAGTCAAGACCAAAAACCTTTGAACTAGGGCTTATTTAGCTGATTAAAGATGAGCTTTATCAGTGGCTTATAAAGTGGTTTGAAAAGTTTCAGTTAATGATCCCTTTAAAGGAAATGACTGGTGGTTGGAGTATGAAGAGGGGATTCGGCACTACAGCAAGGAGGCCCTCAATAAGGTACTGTTTCACCTATGTTTATCACTGAGGGTTTATTTTGTTGTTGTTAGACACAAAGTTTAAATTTTGGTCATCATTTAAACAGCAAAAAGCCTTCGTTGACAGGCTTATTAAAAAGACAAAAAACAATATATAGCAATTGTTAACCTTTCTCTTAAAAGTAGGTTATCATCGTGTCACACCAGACTAACCACATGGCCCAGCAGGCATCCTGAACTTGTGCACAGCAAGCACAGCTAACGCATCAAAGACAGTGAAACAATGATCGATCAATAAAAACGCAGTCCGACAAGGTACTGAAGATGAGGTTTCCACGGTAGCAGTGAAAGTTATGTTCAGGTTTGCCTACTGTAATCTACAACAGAATCTTAATGCACAAACACTGTGCTCTGCTGGATTAAATATTTTTATATTTATTTTATTTAGAAAGAGGGACAATACACATTAATGAACATTTTAACAAATGTAAATATGCCAGATTATAGCCTTGGGCTAATTTCCATCTGCAGACCCTCTGGCAGGTTGGTGTTAAACACAAGTTAGTAAAAACATACAGAGACACTATTTACAGGTCATGTGACAAGGACAAAAACAGTGATCACATCATAATATAATTTAAGCTTTGCCTGATCTTACTGTCAGTTATTTAGTTGCTATTATCCTGTTTGTTTGTTTTTCAGACTTGCTATGCTGTAAAATGTATTAAAGTACCACAATACCAATGCTCCCAAAAAATCAATCTGGGTTTGGCGGTTGCCAGGAGTCCTTGTATGACTGGATTGTGTCAAGTGTAAAGTTTGGTAGAGGGGGATTATGGTGTGGGGTTGTTTTTCAGGAGTTGCACTTGGCCCCTTAGCACCAGTGGAAGGAACTCTTAATGCTTCCACATCCCAACTTTGTGGGAACAGCTTGGGTTTGACCCCTTCCTATTCCAACATAACTGCTCATCAGTGCACAAAACAAGGTCCATAAAGACATGGATGAGCGAGTTTGGTGTGAAAGAACTTGACTGGTCTGCACAGAGTCCTGACCTCAACCTAATAGAACACCTTTGGGATGAATTAGAGTGGAGACTGTGAGTCGGGTCTTCTTGTCTGACCTTACAAATGCACTTCTAAAAGAATGCTCAAAATTTACCATAAACACTCCTAAACCTTGTGGAAAGCATTCCCACGAGAGCTGAAGCTGTTATAGCGTCCAAGTGTGGGCTGACGTCATATTAAACCCTATGGATTAGGAATGGGATGTCATGCAAGTTCATATGCGCATGAACGTGGATGAGCAAATACTTATGGCAATATAATGTATCTAAAACGTTCTAATGCAATAAGATTTTTTGAAGATTTTAAAGTTGTTTTTTTTAAAGATTTTTGCACATGAGCTTCCTTTTTTCTCCACAAATGCATCAACATATACAGTATTAAACTTACGCAACTGTTTAAAATATTTATAGCAGTTTATTCCGATGTAGGAAGACGCTCAAAAAAGAAGAAGAAAACAATTGTCAGTCCCTGAAGACAAACTTTAGTCATTACAAGGAAATAAGGACTCATAAGGAAACATAACTGGTCTCGATGTGACAGCGAGGCTTCTCTCTTTTTACTTATTTAGGAGTTTCCAGAGAAAACCCGGCCAGTGAGCTTCAAGCATCCTGTGTTCCAGTGCTCAGACATGAGTCCTTCTCCCTCTGTCCCCTCCACAGGTCTGTCCAGGTGTCACCTGCTGACCTCAAATCTTGTGTTGTTCAAGAGTTTGAACTAACGCTCTTTTTCTCTTTCTTTCCCTCTCTACCTTCCCTCCATCCACCCCTCCTTCCACCCTTTTGTCTAGTTGAATTTGTGAAGGCCGCAGATATCAAAGTCATCGCCGCCTTGGGGGATTCTCTGACAGTAGGTGTTATATGTTGTTTGCTGCTTCCTCTGCTGTGCCGATGATACAGTGTAACGTCGAACAAAAATAGACTCGCTCCGACCGTTGATTCATTCATTTTGCATACTCGCTTAGTCCTGCTGAGCAGAAGGCAGCTGCAATCGTGAGAAGAGCTAAAACGCTTACAGTGATGGATAAAGACTGAGTGCAAATGAGATGGAAATAAACTTTAAACTGCATTACTAACCAAATGTTGCACCAACGGAAGAGCAGTCAGCTTAGTTATTATCTCTTTTTGTGCTTTTATGAGAACGGCACATCTTCATAATCTAAGAGAAGATGCCCAAATTGCAGCTGGTTAATGGGGACCTGTTATCATCTCCTCTATATTTTTATTCTTGGACTCTTTGTGTATCGTTGCATGACTCACAGTTTATAATAGTTCTCATCCCGAGCCTTGATTCGGCAGCGTTGCACGTATACGGTAGAGAATTTGGAAAGGCATAATAGGATCCGTTTAAATTAGAGTGACAAACCACCCACACAAACACTTACTCATAAAACTGCTTTTCTTCTGTTCCTTGGCTCCTGATCTCTCTATGCCGTGCCCCTTCTTTTCCAGACGGCTATCGGCGCCAACGCCACTACTGTCCTCGGCATTCCCATTGAGTTTCGTCACGTGTCATGGAGGTGCCTGTCACAAATCTCGCACAAATAACAATCAGGATGATGTGAAGCAGACTGATCTCATATCAGGAACATGTTAGAAACTGTATTCCCCCATGAGAGTGTCAGTCTGTAAGAAACAAGGTTAAACTGACATTAACAGTTCTGCTGCTGGTATTGCTTTCCTTTCTGCTTGCAGCATTGGAGGCTATGGGACATATCAAGATGTCATTACTTTGGCAAGTAAGCTGTCACTGCTGTGTCCGAGCTCTTTCTTAACTGTATCGTTCCATGAAACTCGCAACGAGAAAAGTCCAGCTCATTTTCTTTACCTGTTTGACGCTGTCATTTTTAGATATCATCAAGCTGTTTAACCCCAGTCTGCTTGGAGCTTCTCCTGGAAAGACAGTTCATGGGATGCAGGCTCATATCAGTGAAACGGGCTTCAACTTGGCCGTAACTGGACACAACACCTTGTAAGACCTTCGCTTACTTTTGTGTTGCCTAATCTAACAAATTATATTCTTCTACAAAAATAACTGAGCTGTGACCTAATTCACTTTAGGAAACATGTTATTCTTTATTTTGTAGCAATCTCCCCGGTCAGACGAGACATCTGATAGACACACTGAGAGGTTACGAGGTAAAGCGAGGCCTTGTTTTCTCAGTAATGATACAGCACAGGGATGGGAGAGGTAACGGGACTGTCGTCTCTTCCTTTAGGGTCTCAACTTTGAAGAGGACTGGAAGCTTTTGACTATTCTCATGGGCATGAATGACATCTGTGATTACTGCAAAGATAAAGTCTGTCTTGGTCTCTTATCTTTAATTCAATAGAAAATCTCTCTCTCTATATTGAATATTGCCTCTTCTATTACCTCTGATGAATCTCCGCTACTTCCAGGCTCTTTTTTCAGTAGATAACTTCATCCACTATATGACCGTCTCGTTGGAAATGCTTATGAATGAGGTAAAGTCGAAGATAAACGAAATCAGGCTTAGCCCTGGATTTACTGTCTGCTGAGACTGAGGGTCAGTGCTGTGCTGAATCACCACAGTGCAGGTCTTCATGCTGTGCTTCAGGTTCCCCGTATGATTGTGAACGTGGTTCAGATCCTCCCCATGCAGACTTTGAGGGAGGTGCAGAAGCCCACCCCAGGGTGTTTGCTCCAGCGGTGATCACTCTCTTTCTCTCTCAGAACAAGTTCAACTCTGGCTTGATTGACACTTCTTGAACTTTTTACTTTTTGACTTTGATTTAGGTCTTTCTGCTCGTGCCTGATAGAGCCAGTAGCCAGATCTCCTGAACTCCGGGAGCTGGTGGAGGTCAATCTGGAATTCCAGGTACACTTTACTTCTTTCATGTTATACGATTATGTATTATGTAAGGAAAGATGGTACAGGAGATAAATTCTTCTTTCATTTGGTTGCCACATTAGAAGGAATATGGACTCTTTTTTGATCCCTCTATGCATCATAAAAAAAATCCCATGTTTTTTAGGAACAACGTGTTCGTTCTGTACAGCAGACTCTGAATGTTAGGCTGCACAAACAAGCTCGTCTGTAAAAATGTTTTAATCAGAGTATAGCATCAGCTAAACTGCTGACATATTGATCCAGTCAGTTAAGTAGCAGAGAGGGTTGTTAAACAGTTTCAGCTGCTTTAGTGTTAATGAAATTAACGAAAGGTGCTCTAGAGGGACAACAAAGAGACACAACTCCCAAAACAGCAATGGTTTTACAAGTAGAGGTCACTCCTCATCTTTTCTTCCTGTGTTTTCACTAGTTTAGCATTTGACTAGGGACAGTGTAACTACTGGTACAGAAGGTGATACCTGAACCCTGCAGAGGTTGCACAGGCAGTTTCCTGTGTCTCCCAGCAGAGTCTCAAGAGCACGGAGGAGATTCCAGGAGACAGGCAGTTACAGGACTGGCATCTCCTCCTTTGTGCAAAGAGGAAGAGGATGGCAGTGACCAAACAATCATAAACAGACTTCATCTTCAAACAGATGTCCTCTGTGCTCACTGCCTGGCACTATAGAGCCCGTTTGCCATAGAATACCAAAATTGCCTTGTTAAACATGCACTAATTTGTATAAATATCTAATTTACAGAGTGCAGAGAAATGTATTTTAAACATTTGTTTTCTACCAGGCTGAAGGAAGAACTATTTTGGAAGGAAACAAAGCTTAAAGAAATGCCCATTAAAATGCATTTTGACTGTATCTTCCATAATAATTTGCCTGGTCATTGTCCCAAATGATAACTCACTTTAATGTGCAAACAGGGTACATTGCACCCAAAACATTATATGCTGATTTCATGTTCGCAGCTCTCACTGTAATTTGTGTGTTTGCTGTTATTGTAACAGCACAAGCGAGGAGAATGGGAGACAAATTGATTCTCACGCTGCTTTCATCTGCAGAAAAGACTCGAGAAGCTGCTGTACAGCGACCGCTTCTTCAGGGACGACTTCGCCGTTGTTCTCCAGCCCTTTTTGAAGAACGCGGACCCGCCCCGCCTCCCGGTAATCCATCTCACGCCTATCAGTGTGACATAAGTGTCTGCTTTCAGACCAATCGGTGCGAAGCATCACGCGGCGATGACTGACTCATCAGTGATCCCCAGTGTGACAGCTGTAGCGTTTTGGCTGAGAAACTCACGAGTCATGTTTCACCAACAATGCTGTCCATCACTAAAACTATACCGCAGTGTATTTTGTGTCTCTCTGAGCAGAACGGGAAGATCGATATGACTTTCTTCACTCACGACTGCTTCCACTTTACCATAAAGGGACATGAGGAGCTGGCCAAGGGACTGTGGAACAACATGGTGAACAATAAGTTGTATTTGATTTAAAGGCACAAGAGGCTAAAGGTCAATGAGTCATTCAGGGTTTATTGTGTAGGATTCACATGAATGTGAACTGTGTAATTGTTCAAATACACATGTCTGCTTCTCTCACAGTTTCAGCCCGAGGGAGGAAAGACGATTGTGAGCAGCTTCTCTGACCCCATCACTCTCATCTGTCCGCCTATGGTAAGATTAGCTTTCCATATTTGACAACTTTGTTTGGCCTGATTGGTCTAAAGAATTGAATATTAACTAAACGTTCCTCCAGTGAAATTAGGTTTCAGAAAGTGTTTTAAAATGTTTGTTTAAAAGTCTGTTGATTCAAGGAAGTTTAGCGCTGTGGAACCTTTTTTTTCTCCATTTGTTATGATTCCTGTGCTTTAGATGCTTCTCAAAACACTCTGTTACTGCTTTGTCATGCTGCTGTGCATATAAATGACACTGCATTAAAATAAATGAGTGCTTGGTGAAATAAAAATGAATTTTAGTTCACCAGCAACTCAGAGCTGTTTGAAAAACTGGGAAAGAGGCTACGGTGCGTCACGCTTCTCAAAACGCTCTGCAGTACTGCATTATTTGTGTTGTGATAAATCTTAATTCAATATCTGATTTTTACAGTTATTATATTACATATCATATACGTAGGAACACCCATATATCTTCACTCGACCGATCGCAGCCAAGTCAGACCAACCTACCCTCCAGACTGACGCTCCATCACCAGCAGTCATCTTCCTGCTGCTCCTCCTGGCACAGTTTGGAGTTATGTAGCTTTTAATTCCTTTTCCCGACGCAAAACACACAGAGGGCGGAAGGAGTTTTTTAGCCATTCACCAGCATGGAGGAAATGACTGCAAACTGACAGATTTGACAACAAACAATCATTGCAATCATGCAGCCGAAATATCTGAATCTCAGAGGATGTTGGAGATGGACGAGATGAGGATAGGGGAGTTTCAGATGGTTGGGGGTTGTCTCTATAATATTGCCAGATTTTTACTAAATAAAGTGCCTGGAGATGACTGGTGTTGTGAACTGTTCTTCAAAGTGAACTGAACTGAGAAATGTGACTTTCTAATAGACCCTTTTACAGTTTTTAATTGAGATTTAAATAACTTTTCCTGCGCTAAAGACGATATACCAGTTAGACCGCATGCCTGGTAGTGGGATGTTTCTGTTTCTCCCCCATTTGGGGAGCAGACTTAGAGCATATATGTATTTTTAATAAAAAGTTTGCTTTGTACAAATTGCAAATGTTGTAATTAACAAAGCATGACGACCTACTTTTGGTTCGTGTGACTTTTATACATTCATACATAAAATATTAACGACTTTGCCTCTTTAATAACTTCTGGGCCTTTTTTAAAAAAAAGTTTTCAGACTCATTAATTTACTCAGATTTACCTTTTTAAAAAACAAAACTTTTGTTTGCTTGTTTGTTTCTGCACGCTTACTCACGCAGAGGGACCCTGGCAATGTGCCTCGATCAGCTCAGTGAAAAAAAAAATGATTTAAACATGAAAATTTGTCATTCATATCATCTGCTGTAGATTTCCCCAGACAGCTCTGACTTCTCAAACAGGGGAAGATTTAGTCACAGGTCTGCTCCTCAGATCTCCAGGCAGCTGCTGGCCCACTTTCACTGCTCCATCCTCCGGTGCCTGAAATATTATTATTATTCTTCACTAAAAGAGGGAAAGCAAACCATCAGTCATTGCACTGAACAAAAAAAAAAAAAACGACAACAAAAAAACACTAAGTGTTGCTCATGCTGCTGGGTGCTGAGCAGTGGAGTCATTATCTTTTACCCGCAAAATGTCAGCGGTTGGCGTCAGTAGCTGAGGTGTAATCATCCAGTGCAGATGGCTGTATTGGACTCTCTGGTTAAACAGAGCCTACAATACAGAATTCACCGACTCCATTGAATCAGTGTGATTACAAAGGCAGGTGGAAACTATATTAAGGCAATCTCAGGTTACTTTAATGTGCTCAGAAATAGCAATTTACCTCCAGAATGGAAAGGAAAAGCATATGATATGTACTCAGTGTGGTGCAGCTGGGTTGTATAAGTATATCATGTGTCATATATGTAGGAACAATCATATTTGCATGGGGAAAGCCTCCCTTTTCTAACGTTTTCTTATAATAAAACGCATAACCCTTGAGTTTAGAAAGGTAATTATTTGTAATCACCTAACATGTATTTTTTCCCAAACTCTTTCAAATTTATTTGCTTTGTTCCAGTTTACTTTGTTGCTTCTTGGATGCTTCTCTTTGACGAATTTCAGTTAGCGCTTGTAGCTTTCAGATTTCATTATAACCCTTTTATTGTATTCAAAGGAAACAGTCTTCATGTTTAAACAAAGCCGTCGGCACTTTACGCGGGACAAATATGGATCCTCTGGTCTAGCTCTGATGCAGATTGGCCTTTATTGTTTCTCTGAATGCATAATGAGATCTTTGGGATGTCGGTGAATGTGAAACTGCAAACAGTCCAAACGCCCGCTCCCACTTTAGAAACCTCTGCTCTGTTTGTTTTTTAATGAACATGTCAGTAACAAGATGAAAATGACCTCATGAGAACATGCACATCCAGAAGTTTTAGAATTTTCCAGTGTGCATGTCTGCTCCTTATAAATGGAGACAAAATGCTGGTACTGTTTCTGCAGTTTTAATGTATCATCATTTAATGTCAGATCTCAGGAGGCTCAGGGAAAAGGTCTTATTAAAATTCAAAGGGAGAAAAAAACAATAATAAAGCTTCACTTGGTGCAGGGTTGCCAATTCTGACACTTCTGATGTGGCAAGACTGCTGGTCAGGAGGTGAATCAGACACAGATCACACACCCACCGCCTCCAACATCACAAACAACCCCCAACTCTACTTGCTCCATCGTATCTTTCGCACGCTGAAACGTCTGTAAAAAATCCAGCCCTGAAGATGTTTTCTCTGAGTTTTTTCCACACCTGAAGCTTTCATACAGCAGCGGGATCCATCAACGAGCTTTTCCAAGGTGAGAGAGTTGTGTGCATTTAGGCGGGTGGCACAACAGATGGAACTATTTGTGACTATTAATAGGGATATTTTTATTTTACTCTTAGTAAAAGCCTGATGGGTTTACTGAAATCAAAAAAATACATTTCTCTCATGTCATGTTTTTAATTAATTTGTTATCAGTAAAATGTGGCAAAAAGGAAATTTAAAGTAAAAAATTAGTTATTGTAATTAGATAAATCATCACTACCCATTTCAGTGTTGTTATTGGTTACACGGGTGGCAGATTTGGTCTAATTACCTAAATTAATTGGGGTGCTATTTGGGACCTTATTTACAGGCTTCACTGTGTTCTAATTATAATCATCCATTAGGAAGGGCATTGGTATAAAATATATTTTGGCAAATATTTATGCAGATCAGGATAATTATATACAGATTGGTCAACGCACATTGCTCCACTGTGGCAAGCCATTAAAGGAGCAGAAACAAGAAGGAGATGACAGAAGAACAGATGAAAACAAATCGCAGTCATAAGTAATTGTGGAGACATCATTGTATAGACTTTCAGTGTGGCTGATGTAGGTTGGGAGGGGCAATAAAACAAACAGAGATTTGGTGACTTGGAAAAGTTTTAGCCTAGGACCCCATAGTACCTTCCATCCGTTTTCTGCAGAGGTTGTTGGAAGTTATGATGCATGTCTTTAGACTGTGGGAGAAATGAGGTTTGGAGATGAAGTATACTGATGACCAGCAGTATGGCTTAGTGCTGAGAAAGAGCCCTACAGATGTTATGTTTGCTTTAAGAATGTTGATGAAGAAGAATAGAGAAGGTCAGAATGAGTTGCACTGTCTGTTGGTAGATCTAGAGAAAGAGATGAGGAAGTCAGGAGTGGCAAAGAAGTATGTCAGGGTGGTGCAGGACATGTATGAGGACAGTGTGACAGTGATGACGTGGATAGATGGGTTAAAGGTGCGGGTGGGATTGCATCAGGGATTGCATTTGAGCTCCTTTTTGTTTTCTTTGGTGAAAAACAGACTGACAGACGCGGTCTGCCAGGAGATTCTGTGGAATAAGTGATCTGTAGCGAGAGCAGGAAGTAGGTGAAAGAGAGTCTGGGAGTAGAGGAGTAGAAGTAAAGGTAAATGAGTTCAAATAGCTGGGGTCGACCATCCAAAGCAACAGACAGTGCACAAGAGGTGAAGATTAGTGCACAGGAAGGGGAACTTGCTGGAGACTAGTATCAGGGGTGATTTGTAACAGAAGGATAGCAGCAAGAGTGAAAAGGAAGGTTTACTAGCTGGTGGTGAGACCTGCTGTGATGCATGGTTGGGAGACAGTAGCACTGACAGAAAGACAGGTGTTTTTCATTCGAGGTGACCTGAATGGACAGGATTGTAAACAAGTACATCAGAGGAACAGCTCAGGTCAAGTGGTTTAGACACAAAGATAAAGAGGCAGGGATGAGATGGTTTGGGCATATGCAGATCAGGGAGCTGCTAAAAGAAGAGGAAGACAAAGATCTTTTACCTCTTCATCCACAGTTGGTATCAACCTTCAACTCAGTGTTTCTTGCTATGCACTTTGGACTAACCTGATATCAGTTGCATAACAACAGAAGCAAAACATACTCAATTCTGAGTATTTGTATCTAATGACAGCTGCAGTTGTATTTAACACCTGCGTTCTGTAGTTAGCATTGTGCATGATGATTAAATGTGTTACACTGTGATAAATTTTGTCTAATTAGGTGAAAATTATTGTAGGCGTTACCAAAAGAGTGCTTCATTCAATAGATGTGTGAAGAAGGCTGTGTATTTGGCTCAGAGAAAGAGGTTGTCTGTTTTATCTGTATCAACAGGCACAATAAACTGTATGCTGTAATTATAAAATATTAATCTAGAAAGGTAAATACTGCATTGTTCCTAAATATGAACAGACCTTGCAACATAGCTCAGTTTGATTTGGGTCACATGCTCACATGAGCAAATCTGGACAATGGCAGCAATATTTTTTAATAAAATATCACCAGGCAACACATTTAGGCAGTCAAGCGGCACAATCAGTAAATACAGCTTGATAATCCCTCTTTGTCCTATGGGGAATCACTCAGTGATGTTGACAGAGACACTATCATTTATTTACAATACATCCATTCTCTTGACTGCTTATCCAGTACAGGATCGAGGGGGACTGGCGCCAGCTCCCAGATCAAATAGTCTTTAAACAAGATGTGAAGGAAAAGCAGACTTCCCCCTTCAATTCTGGGGTTCACATCCCACAGAAGCTCAACTGGATTTAAATCTGGGGAATTTGAAGTCCACACTTCAAACTTGCTGTTGTGCTCCTCTAACCATTCCTGAACCATTTCTGCTTTGTGGCAGGGAGTATGATCCTACTGAAAGAGGCCACAGCTATCAGTGAATACTGTTTCCAAGGAAGGATGGTCTGCAACAATGCTTAAGTAGGTGGTACGTATCAAAGTAATAGCTACATGGAGGGCAGAACCCAAGGTTTCCCAGCAGAACATTGCCCAAAGCATCGCACTGCCTGCACTGCCTGCACAAGCCTGCTTTTTTCCCACAGTGGATCCTGTGCCAGGTGTTCCCCTGTGAGGTACTGACCACAGCAGACCAGGAACATCAGCTTGTCAAACTCCTCAGATAATTACACTTGCACATTTTTCCTGCTTCTAAGAAATCAACTTTTAGAACAAAATGTTCACTTACTCTCTGACAGCTGCCATGATGAAGAGATAATCAGTAATATTTACTTCACATGTCAGTGCTTGGTGTATATATTTATATACATATAGCTATAGGTATGTGTTCAGATATACATCCATATTTTTGTGGGTGGTAATTGTGCGGATAAACATATGTATCAGGATGATGATCATCACCCTTCATATTCCTTGTTACTTATTCAAAATCCCGCCATCTGTCTACCCCCCTTTATCCTGTCAGGACAAGCTGTGTTTCAGCTTGTCCTGTTTTCATTGTTGTGTGTCTTTGTCCTGTGCCGTTGTTGCTTTTTTCAAAATCAAATGTATAACATAAACCTTTTGAATCAAAGCTAAAGTCTACACAATCAAAAATTAATTTTAAAATACATATGCTTCCAGTTAAACCATACAAAGGATGAAAAACATGATCGATGCTCAAACAGCGCACGGGGATAGAGATGCTCACTTTTATACCTGAGGCACTCTGAACTGGCACACGCCCTGACAACCAGCGAGGTACGATCAGGTACAACAGCAATTATTTGTCCCAGGATGATGTCATTTCCTCTCTCCAGCTCACGCTATAAAAAGGGTGCTGTTGCGGCGAGGTCTTGGTGGAGAGACCGGAGAGGACGGAGGCTGTCGGGTCACCGATGCTGCAGAAAATCTAGCTCTCCAGAAATACCGAAAGGCGGCTAAGTTTTGTTCAGAATGCGTCCCTAATTCACCGACTTTGATTTACAGGGAAGAAACCTAACCTTCTGATAAAAGCTTCGCTATTTTTTATTATTCCTGGAGAGCTACTTCGCCTCGTTTCCAAACATGATCGGGAGAGGACTGTTCCTTTTGACAATCCTGTCTAGCTGCGGTAAGAAAAAGAACAGACAGCTAAACCTTGATGAAGTTGAGAGATATGAAGACACAGACGGTTGGTTGAAGGAAATCTGCATTAAGTATTGTGACTGCCGGGGTTCCGCACCGAGGACAGCGACAAGCGCATCTTTAATTGCAATGAATTCACCTGCGCCTTTGGCACAATTATTCTCGTTACTAAAACAACCAGAGGCTTGTAGTAACACAGCGAGTGAGGAAAGAAAAGCGCACACGCACACACACACGCACACAAAGGAGCTGTAGGGATTATGAAAAGCATGTGAACAAATAAACATGCATGATTTCCTTTTCTCTCTGTGTTCTTGTTCTCTTGCAGTCCTTTCATTGCCAGTGACTTCGAGTCAGCTGGAGAATGAGGACGTAAAGGTAAATATTTTCTTATTGTTTTTGGTAACATTTTCTATTCTAATATTAGTTTTATTGGAGCAACAGAAAAGCAAAAAGCAAAAAAGAAACTAGTGCAGGTTAGTGTTAACCTTCTTAAATCGATACTTCAGGGATATTCTTCTTGTGAGTATGACAAATAATACAAATCCACTGCATTGCCTTCTAGCTGCTCTCCAGCTGCACTCTTAAGGCACGCAGTGATTAGAAATGTTTAATCCCAATAATTTAAAGCTTTAAGCACCTTCATTGTGAGGCAAACCCACATTTGCCTTTGTAAAAATCAATAGAAAGCAATTTGAGAGCAATGGAGAGCCTTGACCTCCATGATTTTGAGGATGCTAAATCCACTGACAGAGAGGGAGGGAGGGAGAGAGAGCTTTCCAGAATAAGGTTTGGAGAGACAAGACTGCTAAAGGGAAATGTGGAATTTGATCACTTCAAAGGTCTTTTGTGAAGAAGCTGGGCACCTTTAAAAAAAAAAAAAAGTAGAAGAAGAAAAAGATTGTGAAAAATTATGTATGGATGTAGTATTGGCGCAATGGGAGTTGAAATAATTTTGATCCCTCATCTAAAGAGATTTATATCTTTCAATTAGTGGCTAAGTTAGCACACAAGCTGCAT